TACGTGGGAGTTTTGTAGTATCATTTATCATTTATTTCTAGTTTATTTCTATTGGATGCTATGATCCAATAATATTCAAGGGATAATTTCAATTGTTTTGCATTTATTTAAATATGTTCTGTGTGCTAGTATATGGCATATTTTAGAGAATACCCTATGTAGTGCTGAGAAGAGTGTGTATTCTGATCTTGTTGGATGGAACACTCTGTATATGTCTATCAAGTCCCTTTGTTTACAGGTGTGATTCAGTTCTGTTATTTCTTTGCTGATTTTCTGTCTGTTTGATCTGCCCCTTGGTGTCAATGGTGTGTTAAGGTCTCCTGTTATAATCATGTTATTGCTCATTTGGTTTTTCTTTTGTATTAATACTTAGTTTATATAACTGAGTGCTCTGGAGTTTGGTGCATATATATTTAAGATTGTTATCTCTTCCTCTTAAGTTTTCCTCTAACCAGTGTGTAATGACCTTTATCTCTTCTGATCATTCTTGGTTTGAAGTTCACATTGTCTGCAAACAAAATAGCTATCCTCATTTTTTTTGGGTTCCTATTGCATCAAGTATTTTTTCCCATCTTTTGACTTTCAATCTGTGATTAACTTTTTGGGTTAGATGGGTTTCTTGTAGACAACATATGGTTGTATGTTGTTTTTTGATCCATTCTGCCAGTCTGTTTCTTTTAATTGGTGTATTGAGGCCATTTACATTAATGGTTATAACTGTTATATGTTGGTTTATTGTTGACATGCTATCTTTCTGCTGTTGCATCTTTATCTTTCCATTCTGTTTTAATTGTCTGATTTGCTTAGTGGTCTTTTATCTAATTGTATCTAAACTGTCTTTCAGTATTCATTGCTGGATTGGCTTGATGATCATGAAGTTCTTCTGCTGTTCTTTGTCATGGAAGTAACTTATTTCTCCATTGATTTTGAAGGACAGTTTTTCAAGGTACATCAGTCTATTTTGGAAATCATTTTCTTTTAGGATCTGCAATACTGCACTCCGTGCTCTTCTTGACTTCATTGTTTGTGTTGAGAAGTCTGCTGTGATTCTGACAGGTTTTCCTTTATAGGTGATCTGTCTTTTCTCTCTGACAACTTTTTATATTCTATTCCCATGTTGGATTTCTGGGATGGTGATTATTATATGCCTGTGGGTTTAGTTTTATTTTGGTTATGGCTATTTGGAATTCTACATGGTTCACTGATCCTGATGTCAGTTTCCACTCTCATTTTTTGGAAATCTTCAGCTAGTATTTCTGTATATATCCTCTTGACATCCTTTATGTTGTCTCCTTTTTTTTTCAGTGATCCCTATCTATCTTATGTTGTTCTTCTTTACATCATCTTGCAGCGGTTGAATTGTTATTTCCTGATTCCTTGTTATTTTTAAAAGATCTTTCCTGTTCACTGGCTGCAATCTTGTCTTTGAGGTCTGAAATTCTATCTTCATTTTCATTGAGGTGGTTTTTAAAACTTTCAATTGAATTTTTGATTTCTTGTATATCTCTTTGCATCTGCTTTATGTATTCTATTTGTTTTTTATATTGTTCATCCAGGGATTCACTTTTTGTTTAGTTCCTCCAATTTTTTGACTGTCTCTTCTTTTGATATGTTTGGCATCTCTTTCATGACTTTTATCATTTTTTCTTTTACCTGGGAGATTATTTCTCATTTGAATACCTTTAAGGTTTCCCATAGTTGCTTCTTTATTTCAGTTGCTATTTTTTCAGGCATTTCAGGTTTATGGCATATGTTTTTTTTTCTATGTACATAGCTCCTAAGGTTTCTTGGGATGGGCTGTTGGCTTGAGATTATATTTTTGTCTTTCAGTTTTTCATTTTCCTACATTTCTGTGTTTCAAGTGTTATTCCAAGGCTTCCCCTGGGCCTGTTGGAAATCCTCTTATACACTCTTAGCCTCTCAAACTCTGGCCTCCCAGTTCCCCCAGGCTGCACTGTCTCCAGAGTTCAGGGCACAGGCAGGCAGGCCCAATCCCTGGAGCTGGCTTAGCATGGCAGGAAACCAGAAAGTTGGTGTAGGCAGGGCCAAACCCTGCTGAGCTGCTTCAGTACAGCAGGAAGCTGTAATGTTCCCTTGCTGGTGTGAGCTAGGATCTTAACTCCCTCCTGGGGCTCAGGATGTTGCATGGACACTCATTCCAGGCCTCCCAGTCTCCAGAGCTCAGGGCATAGAAAGGCAAGCCCAATTCCTTGGAGCTGGCTGAGCACAGCAGGAAACTAGAAAGTTATTGCAGGAAGGCCCAGGCCCTGCTGAGCTGAAAGGAAGCTGTAAAGTTCCCTTGCTGGTGTGAGCTAGGATCTTAACTCCCTCCCAGGGCTCAGGGTAGTGCAGGGACCCTCACCCCAGGCCACCCAGTCTCCAGAGTGATTGGTTAATTTCTTAATGAAAGCCATTCTTTCTGGAATAAGATGAAATCTCAGTGTTGTTTTAACTTGCATCTCTTGATCTAGTGATGGTGAACATCTTTTCATATATTCACTTGCTGTTTGCATTTATTCATGTGAGAAGTGTATATTTATCTCAGATGCTCATTTTTGGGTTGGGTCTTCGAATTTGGGGGGTCTGAAATTTTTTAATTCTTCATTTGCTAGATAGAAGTCCTTTGTCTGGGAAACAATTGGCTAAAGTTCCTTCCCAATCTTTGGATTATTTTTTTGCTCTGTCATTGATTTCTTTTGATATGCAAAAATCCTTTAGTAAAATGAGGTCTCTGTTCATAATTCTTTGAAGTACTCATGCAATTGGGTTTCGTTCATGAACTCTCTGCCTATACCTGTGTCTTCAAGATTTCTACCTACTTTTTCTTCCAGTATACTTAGTGTTTCTGTCTTAATACTCAGATCCTTGATCCATTTTGACTCTAGTTTAGTTCATTATGATAGACATAGATCTACTTTTAGTCTTTGGCATATAGAGAGCAAATTTTTCAGCCCCAAGGTTAAACATTTAGAATAATACCCATACTGTAGGTGTCATAGAAGTCACATCAACTGTTACCTTCCCTAGGATGCAAATGATGAGAAACAGTCATAATTCCATCACTTTATGATAGCGCATTCAATTTATAGGTTCCTTTTTAATCTTTAATAGCTATAATAGGTAACTGCATGATTTTTATGCAAGGAGAAATGTAACATTTATTTTGCTAATATTTCATTTTCCATCTGCCATACTCTTTAAAATGTATCTTTATGAGAAAGAGATATGATTTTAATGTGACTTATTTAAGCAGAGTACACAATTCACCTATCACATTTCCCCAAAATAAAGAAGCATCATTAAAGCACACTGTATACATTTATGGAAATATCACAGTGAATCTCATTAATATGTACCATTAATAGAGGTTAATTAAAAATGGGAAAAATACATAAATAGGAACCTGGGAAGCTGACCTTTTCATATGCTAAAACAGCATTAATCCACCATCATCAAAAGACTATGGTATGAATAAAGCAACAGATAAATAGCATTTAACAAAGTAGATTCTAGAAATAGTAATTTAATATATGATTACATTATTTGATATGTTGTTTCAGTTCAAAGGAGAAAATGATACTAATGTCTAATCATCCAGAAAAACTAGGTTGAATTCTTACCCTAAATCATATGAAAATTCAATGTAGAATAAATATTGATAATTTAAGGGAAAGAAAAGATCTACCATTAATTGTAAGTTTTCAGAGAAATTTAGAGCATACATAGCAAATTTATCCAAAGCCTTTGAGTGTCACCAGAAAAAAATATTAATAATAAGGCTTAATTATTTTCATAATTAAAGCAATCACAACATTCAGCAATTTAAATTAAGAAAGATTTGGAAATAAATAAGAAATGCTAATTGTTATTGACAACTTAGATGGGGGAAGAAATAGAAATGAGGATTGTAAAGCTCTCATTCAAAATGAGACCTAAAGGAAAAAGTGAAATTTATTTAGGTAGCTAAATAAACTCACATACAAAATTTATTTGAAAGTGAAGGATACTGACCTAGTAACTAGAGCATGGCTTCTAGTGCTTGACTCACCCTGATGATTTCTAACTGCATCACTGGACACACTGCAAACATTCCACAAACCTTAGATTCAGTGTATTTAATTTGAGGTGTTGATAATTCATTCTAACTTCAAATTATGATATTCTACATAGAGAATGAATCATTTCCCAGACTGTGAGACAGAGGAGGCAAAAAGTGTAGAGACTGGAGCAAAGGAAGCAAACAGATTAGGAAGACAATCATTCCAATCAGGGTAGCTAATAAATATACAGTTTAAAGGTCATGTGAGTGTGTACCTTGTCTATCAATAGACTAATTCTGCTCTATATAGAAAAGATAATGCGTTATCTATTCAATTATGTGACACTCTTCTAAAACATGGATTTTTCTACATGGCAGATTTCAAAAGACATATGACATGCTTTTGAACACTTTGTTAAACAGGGTGTTATGGTTGATGCATTGTGTTAACTTGAGAGTTTAGCCATTTAAGCAACTGAGCAGAAGCCAGGGTCCTCACTTTGTAAACATCTTGAGCCTGGGCAAGAGGAGGACATAGACATGGTATGGGTGCAAAGATCTACCCTAGGGTGGAGTGCCTACGTATAATATAAGGGAGGAAAAGAAGCTTGCTCGCTCTCCCTTTTGCCCTTGTTGCTTTTGTTATTTTCTGCCACCCTGAAGCATTGCCCCTGTGCCATGCTATCCTGCTGTGGAGCCAGCTGATTGTGGACTGAAACTTCTACAAACTGTGAGCTAAATTAACCTTATCTTTCTTATTTTGTTGCTGCAATTAGAAAAAATGACACAATATCACACAGTAATATCAGTTTCAGTGGTAAAATGTATATAACTATTTAGTAGATAGTTGGTTTCTGGGTATATAACATGGTTCAAGCCTCGAGTGTTTCTCTTAAGTTTCTTAGGGCCTTTTCTGCAACCATGTGAGAGAAAAATCTAAAGTTTTTCATAACCAATCCATTTATGAAATCTTCCCATAATGTACAAGATGAGTATACAATCTCTTCATTGCGACTTTCATGTCTTTGTTTCTGAATGTATATATGACTGGGTTCAAAAAAGGAGTGATAAATGCATCAAAAATAGCAAGATATTTATCCAGGTGTGATGTAGGGGAAGGCCATGTGTAGAAAAACATCAGTGGCCCAAAGAACAAGATGACTACAGTGACATGAGCTGACAGAGTAGAGAGGGCTTTGGATAAAGCACCAGAAGAGTGTTGCCCAACAGTGACCAGAATGAAGATATAGGAAATAATCAGCAGGACAAAAGAGCCCACAGAAATGAGCCCACTATTCACAGTGACCATGAACTCGAGTTCTTGAGTATTTGTGCATGCAAGTCTGAGGAGCCGAGGAAGATCACAGTAAAAACTGTCAAATATATTAGGACCACAGAAAGGTAAATCTACCACAAAAACTAGTTGGACCAGTGAATGGAGCATGCCAATGATACAAGAAGTGACTAAAAGGTATATGCACATTCTTGGACTCATGATGGTCAGGTAGTGCAGAGGTTTACATATGGCCATGTATCTGTCAAATGCCATGGCTATGAGCAGCACCATCTCAGTGCCCCCAACAGCATGACTAAAGAAGATCTGGGTAATACAACCCCAAAAGGAGATAGTTTTGTGCTTCTTGAAAATATCACAAATCATCTTAGGGGCTGTGATGGAGCAAAATGCCATATCAATAACTGAGAGGTTAGCCAGGAGGAAGTACATGGGAGATTGCAGATGAGCATCAAAAGTTACAGTGAACACAATGACAAGGTTGCCCATCATGCTTGAAAAGTAAAACAACAAGGAGAAAATAAAAAGAAGAAGCTGCACTGCCCATGAATTAGTAAGTCCCAGGAACACAAACTCTGATACTGCAGAGTGATTCATTTCATCCCTTGCCTCAGGCACCAGGATCAGTTTTAATGTTTCGTAAGGGTAGAAAGAAAATGATAATAAGAGAAAATTACTTAAGGAGTGTTATTGTTTAAGAAAAAGAGCTGTGAAAATAATTTTCATATTAATAGCTCAGTAAAATTTCCTTCATCATGTGTATACTGGGTGTCTTCTTAGAAGGGCAGCTGTTTACAATATGCATTATGGTTTTCACAGCTACTAGTGAATTAGTTCCATTTGTGGATTATAGTTCTCCCTTGGTTTGATTCAGTGTTACATACCTATTTCCAATTTCTTTCTGCTTAGCATAGTTTAACATGGGTGACATATAACGCTATCTTCTGACTTTGATCCAGGCATGATGGTGCATGTCTGCAATTCTGGCCTGCAGGAAGCTGAGGCAGGAGGACGGCCATAAGTTCGAGGTCAGCTTGGACTACATCATAAGTTCAAGTCCATCCTGAAGTATAGAGCAAGATCCTGTCTCAAAACCAAAAATAATAAAGTAAATTCTTTCCTATTTGATTTTTTTGAATCCGTATAATTTCAGCCAGTCATATGAGCCTCCTAACAATTATTCATGCATAGCATAGATTTCAAAATCTGTTATTTATATTGTTTGATTGGACTTTAAAAATTATCTTTTATTTGACTTTCAAATTTTTATTAGTATGTACTTTTGATACATAATAATTGTATTTACTTTGGGGAATTAATACTTATCTATTTCATATTGATTGTTTTATTCACTTTCCTTGGATCCCCCTTTTCCCAGGTCCACTTTCCATCTCTAAAATGTCTACCTTCTCTTTTCCTCTCCTCTCTCCTTTAATTTTCTCTTTAAATTATTTATATTTTAATTCATCTATGTCTGATTTGTTTCATTTAACATTACAATATAAGGATCCATCCGTTTTCCTATAAGTAACTCACTCAAAATTGTCTTTCATTATGGCTCAGTAATACTCAATTGTGTACATATTCCATATTTTCTTTCTTTATTTATGTGTGGATGAGTATCTAGGCTGTTCTGTAATTTAGCTCCTGTGAATTGTGCTAAAAAAATTCACATATCCCCATAGTATGATGATTTTTGCTCTTTCAGGGAGATCCCCTTAAGAAGTATAGCTGGATCAATAAGAATTTTTAATTTTTTTGGAATATCCATACTGATTTTCCCAGTGTTGTACTAGTTTACATTCCCACCAACAGTGTAGACGGATTCTTCTCCCCTCAACAGACTAACCAGCATGTTTTGCAAGTCCTTGATGATGAACATTCTTAATAGTCTTAAGATGAAATTTCGGTGTTCTTTTGATCTGCATTTCCATAAGTGTTGAAGATGCTCAACATCCTTTTCATGGATTTACTGGCCATTTTTACATCCTCTTTTGGAAGTGTCTATTCATTTCAATTGTCCATTTATTTTGGAGCCTATTCTGGATATTAACCCTCTGTCAGAGGGGTAGCTGGCAACAATTCTCACTTTGTAAGTTGTATCTTTACTCTTTTGATTGTTTCTTTTGCTGTGCAGAAGGTTTTTTTTTAATTTTAAAGAGGATAAAACCTAGGAAAATAGAACAGAATAAAACCAATCAAAGCAAGCCAGGGTAAATGACATAGGACTTCAAAACAATATGAAATCAATAATAGTTACCCTAACGCCTCTTGCTGTCCCCAAATAGCTGCAGATACCCTCAGAAGTAGTAAAAATCAAACAGAACAGAATAGAGCCAACAAAAACAAAACAATGAATGCAATAAAGGACTTCAAAACAAGAGGGTAGTAAATCCAAATTGGCTACCACAATACATCCTGCTGTTTTTGAAACAGTTGCTCTTGACATCGAATGTAACAAAATCAAACAAAATAGAATAAAACCCAACTCAACAAAACAATGAAAATGATACAGGACTTCAAAACAAGACAACAGGGAATTAAAAATTGCTATCACCCTCAGAAGGAGATCCCCTTAGATGCCATCCTCTGCATAGATGATCAGAGACCTGCAATGTCAGTGAAACACCAGAGCACCACAGGCATCCAACTGCATTTCACCGCAATAGCTATCATCACAGCCTGTGTTTCTCTGGATCAGCCAGTCACTTACAGGGGAGTGGGGTGAGGGTGAGGGGGATAAGATTGGCTCTTCTTGTTTACCAGGTCATGCACCAGAAGAGGCTTGGGACTGGCGTCCCGACTCCTGTGGCAGCCCATGTATGGTGTTGGTTCGTAGGGACGGCTTACATCTTGGTGAGGCTCTGTTCTCTCACCCCACATTCCGCGAATGGTGCTGACTCATGAGGAAAGGTTTGCAGTAGATTTTTAATTTGATAGAATCCCATTTGTTGATTCTTGGAATTATTTCTTGTGCAGTTGGGGTTGTATACAGGAAGTCTTTGCTTGTGGCTATGTCTTCAAGTGTTTTATCAATTAGAAATTTCTCTTATTCTATTCTTCAGCTGACAAAATCCAATTCTCAAAGTCCTAGCTAAAGACTTGCTCATTTTTCAAAATCTTCCCAACCTGTCTGATTATACACACATCGCACTGTTAGTATTCATTTCAGTTTTCCTATCATGGTTATTTAAATGTCCATCTCTCTAGTTAAAATTCAGTTTGTTGGCCACAGAGATCATGTGTAAAATGAAGGTGTTAGCAGAGCTGTATTCCTTCTGAAGGTTTTAGGAAGTAATTTGTTTCCCTGCCTGCAATCTTGGGAAACAGACTCTTCTTCCCTCTTCAAGATACACTATCCCACTTCTAATGCTGTCATCACATCTCTTCCTTGACTCTTTTAACTTTCTCTTATAATTATCCTTGTGATTATATTCAGTAGGCCCAGGGTAGTCTTAAATGTTGAGACCCTTTGTTCAGTTTTCAGTTTTGAGAAGTCTTATCTTGGTAGACTGATTTATCTGAAACCTTACACCTATAATTTCTACCAAACTATTTAACTTCTTGTGACTTTACCTAATAAATATGCATTGGTTTTATCTCACCATATGTATTTATAAAACACTCAGGAACAGGTTTCGTGTTCTATAATTCTTTATACTGACTAAGTTAAAAGCACCTCATAAACAATGCTAGGATCTGGGTGCAGTGCATGTCTGTAATTCTAGCACTTCAGTGGCTGAGACAGGAGAATCTCTGTGATTTTGAGGCTGGCCTGGACTACAAAGTGAGTTCAAGCCCAGCCTGAACTGCATAATGAAACTCTGTCTCAAAAAACCCCCCGAAATCTGCTTTAAAAATCACAGAAAACAAAACTCAAAATAAAGCCAAACACAAAAAAGTCCTCAAAAAAAAAAAATGCTAAGAATGTTTCATGGCTTATTTATTTACTTAAAAATGTTTATTCAGCATTTAAAAAGTACTTAGCAATGTGCTAATCCTTGGAAATAGTACAAATGTGAAAAAATTGAATATTGGTATATTGGTTATGTGGAATAAATTAATGGAATAAGAAATTGAATATATATAAAATAAGACTCTGAGGTTATCAGAACAATTTTAAGTAAGAATTATAATGAACCTCTTTATGACTTATGTTCAAACCCCATATCATGGATTATAATCTAATTGAAACTTCTAAAAATGAGCAGTTGTCATCCAGCTGGCTGGTTGTTCTCCAGAAGGAAGTATAAAGTAGAGAGTCAAAAAGAGGACTGAGCATACGTATTTACTGGAGAGCAAATCAGAAAGCAACATTTATTGTAAAGCAAAAACAAACAATCCCCAAGCAACTAAACCGGGAAGAGAACCTGAGCAGGTTGCCATAGCACTCTTCTTTAGGGGTTTTTATACATTAAAACTGACTGCATCCCTGCCAAGTTGAGATCAGCCTATGTGGTTATGAGCAGGGAAGTTAGACTTAGAAGTGGGCCTGTAGGAACTCAAGGTATGCACTTTTCATTGTAACTTCTCTAAAATTAGCAGAACAAACAGAACAACGACATTATTTGTGAGGTATAAACGTCTTATTTCTTGGCAAAAAAATCATCTCACCAATCCAAGAGGCCTTTGTGGAGCCTTCAGTGCTCTGGTCTTGGCCATCATGTCTTTCACTGAATTGTGGCCGCTGGTCCTATCTGTGGAAATCTCGTTCTCTCCTCCCTTACAGACCACTGGCTCAGGGAAACCCTCTCATCTTCAACAGGGTCCTGCTCAGCCTCAACATCATGTTTTACACAAACTGATTGTTTAGATTACTGTTGGATGTCTCTTGTTAGATTAGGAATATGATATTCAGACCTGAGAGAGCACATGCAGGAAGCACGTGATTTATTCTCAAGTCCTTTGTCACTCTCTGTTTCTTTCCCTTCTCCAAGTATATTCTCCATGTTTCTAGAGAAGAAACATGAATCTTTCACTATCTCTGTTCAAGAGCAATATAAATAAATAGATCAAAAAAGAATTCCTTTTGATTATACTGTGTACTTGTAGCCAGTTTTTTATTAAGGCTCCCATGCAGTTGGCACAAGAAGATACTAAGGTAGGAATATACATGATGCTTCTTCCAAATTGAGATTTTGATGCCAAAAAAATGAGATAAGAACAACAAAGAAAAAATGATGGTGAACTTGATTATTATTGAACTTATAAGTAGAATAGCAAATCTAGAAGAGGTTATATTGGGTCATTTAGGAAAAAAAACAACAGATTCTGTGTGAAGTTTGCAAAAGACAGAGCCTAAAAAGATGGCTAAGTGCACTTTAAAAAAAAAGAAGTTAAATACATATTTAAATCATAAAAGAAATATGTTGAAAGAAGAGAAAAAGAAATACAGAGGGGAGCTGGATTACTGAATGCAACAGAAGCCCCAAATGGTGAGACTTATGATAAAGAGAAAGACAGAAGTTTGTTTAAATGTGCACTATTGGAGGCTCTGGTGCCCCCAAATATTTCCCACTAGCATCAGCGCTAGCATCATAGTATATTGCATCCCCAGTCTTCAGTCTCCCATATAATACTATGGGAAGGGTACTTCCTTAGCCTTCCTTAGTCAGAAGCAC